CGTGAGTGCGCGCGCGCGGCCGCCGGGGGCCCGGGGTCGAGGGGCCGCGGAGCCGCGGGTCGGGGCGGCCGGGGCGTCGCGACCCAAGGCCGTGCTCGAGTGTGAGCCCGCGGGGCTGCGTCCCTTCCCTGACGTGGGTGGCCGCGGGTCGCGGCCCTCGTCCCTGACGATCGCCTCCCCCGGCAGGGAGCCGCGCTCGCTTTCCTGGGGGCAGAGGGCGGGCGCGAGCCCCGAGGGCAGCACTGTCCCAGGTTCCGGCTCGGGTGGCCCGAGCGCCGGGTGCCGGAGTAGCCCGCGGCGGGACGCCGCCCTGGCCCCTGGCCCTCGCCCGGGCGGCTGTGCGGGCCCGCTGGTGCAGGTGCGGGACCCGCCCGCAGCGCGGCCGGCGGCCGGGCAAGCTTCCCTTCCCCACCCTTGTTTTTAAGTTCTGCACTTTTTCAACTCGTGACAATGTGTACGTAAGACATAAAATTTACCCTTTGAACCATTTTAAATTGCATAATTTAGTGGCATCCATCCTTTTCAGTGCCTTAGACCCTGGTTTTGTCCTGAAGCAGGAGGGGTTAAGAGGGAGCTGTTATTGCCAATGTTAGGATTGGACTCAAGCCCCTCCCAGCCAGCGTGGGCAGCCCAGCGAATTCCCAGGAGGGGAACCCGTGCCTGGGTCAGGCTCAAGGGCAGCTCGCCCAGGGCCTCTGTCCCCAGCACGCCTCTCCTGGAGGCCGAAACCTCACTGCCTCACCCTGGAAGACATCTCTGTTCCTGGACCTGACCTGGACTTGGGCCGAGCTGGGCCTCCTCTGTAGTATTCCAGAGTTGCAGGTCCTGTCACTTGCTTTTTAGGGCAGGAGCGATGGTGCCCCATCTGGTGCCCAGGCAGCTGGTGCGGCTCTTCCGGTGGCAGGTGGCGTGCGCTCGGGGAGCCTCTGTGCAGCCCAGGACATGGGCAGCGGCGTGCAGGATCCCCAGCCTGCTCAGCCCTTGGGGGGCCACAGGCACCAGCCACCTGGTCTGCAGAAGCAGCTCCTCCACATCCCCCTGTGCCCCCGAGGTGGTGCTGACCCAGGAGCGCTACCCCGTGACGCGGCTGCCATTCTCTGTGGTGTCTGAGGAAGACCTGGAAGCCTTTGAACGCATCATCCCTGGCAGGGTTGTCACTGACCCGGAGGTGCTGGAGGCTTCCAACGTGGACTGGCTGAGGACGGTCCGAGGTGAGTGAGGGTCTGTCCTCACGCTTCAGGGGGATGGGCGTGTGATGAGCTTTGGGTGGAGGAGCCTGGGGTAACTGGCACATACCGTTTCTTGTGCTGACGAAAAGCTGTATTGTGGTTTTAAAGTCTTCTGAGAACAACATTCATAGAGGTTTATTGGTGGGTGCGTGACTTCTGCAAATCAAAAGACAAAAGAGCCCCCTGGCTGCTCTGAGGGATGCACGTTGATTCCTGGTGCTGCTGTGACGGAGAACCATACACTGTGCAGCAGAAGCTTACCCTCCCCCAGGCCCGGAGGCCAGAGGTCTGACATGAAGGCATAGGCCGGGCTGTGCTCCCTCCAGAGGCTCAGGGAGGCTCCTTCCTGCCTCTTCCAGCTCCTGGGGGCTCCAGGCGCCCCTGGGCCTGTGACCGCTTCACTCCCGTGTCTGGCTCCGTCTCCTCGTGGCCTCTCCCTTTGTGTCTGTGTCTCAGATCTCCCCCTGCTTCTCTTTAAGGACACCTGGCCTCACCCTAAGTCCAGGACCTTCTCATCTCAGGATCCTTAACTTGATTGCGTACGTAAAGACCCTTTATCCAAATAAGGGCATGTGCACAGGGTCTGAGGGATAGGATGTGGACGTACTTTGGGAGGCCCAGTCTGCCAATGGCAGCTCCTTCGGGCAAGATGCGGGGGTGCTGGTTTGGCTGCCCGTGCTTCCCTCCTTCCAGCACACGCCTGTGCATCAGCTCTGGGATTCTCAGCCTTCCAGACCCAGCACACCCTCTCCCGTGAGAAAGAGCTTCTGACACTCTGTGTTCTCTCCTGGAACATTTTCGGAGATAACGTAAGCTGCCTATTCAGACAGTTACAAAAACCGATTTGACGTTCTTGCTAGAACATTACAGAGAGCTAGAAGACAGCCGGTTTACAACAAAGTTCCGTGTTGGACACGGAATGCCGGGGCACTCTGGGCAGCCAGGTCCGCAGGCAGCCTGGATCCGGCGCACGTGGGACTTGAAAGAGCAGTCAAGGGGGGTGTTGTGTGGCGGCGACTCAGCCACTGCAAGGGAAAACTCCGAGAGAGTTTTCAGCTTGCGGTCTGAAGTACAGTGCGTCTGGAAATGGTGCAGAGTCTTGAGCATGTGGAGTTAGGGTGTGGCTCAGATAACGGAGACGCGCTGTACTCACAGGGAAAGACAGGCCGGAGACCTTGGAAGTCCTCGGACTGCTCTTCTTTTTTTTAAAGATTGTATTTATTTGAGAGCGAGATAGAGACAGAGATAGTGGGAGGGAGCACGCACGAGCAGGGAGGAAAGGGAGAAGCAGGCTTCCTGTCCATCCCAGGCAGATATTAACCCATGGAGCCACCCAGGCGCCCTCCTCGGGCTGTTCTTTATGGCCCAAGTGCCCAGACTGGAAGGGCTTCTAGCCCCACCCTGCCTGCTAAGTCAGGGCCCCACAGGGGGGTGGGGGATGTTGCTAGGCTGCCAGCCCACCACCCACACAGGGCCTGCAGGCTCATGTGCGGTGCTCCTGGAGGCAGGAGAGGGTGCTGTCCACCCTGGGCTCAACCAAGCTGGGCCCCGGCCCTGGCTCGGCACTGCTGCCTGAGCGCCAAGCCCCACAAACTGGGGATGGGGCACCCACCTCAGAGGTAAGAACCCAGTGTGCTGGGTGCTCAAGGCTTAGGGTGTCTTCCTCCGGGGGCTTCCAGAGCAAGTGCACGCTGTGACTGGGATGTGGACTGTCTGTCCTCCCTCCCTGGACAGGGGTTGGCTGTGTGCTGGGGGCTCTTCCTGGAGGTCTGTGTGCCTGTGTGGATGACTCTCCACCCTCACCCCCACCTCCGGCCACTGACACCTGAGCTCAGGAGGGCGGCACTGGGGCTTATTCATGTCTGAATCCGCAGGACTTGATGCACAGCACCTGCCCAGTGGGTGTCTGCTGAAGTAGTTTGTTCAATTTTTGTCTAAATAACCCTTTTATGTGGCTTTCTTTTGGGAAGAAAGCATGTCTAAACTTACGATCATTTAACATTTTAATCTCAGAGTTCTATAGAAAACACAGCTAATAAAAGCTGATTAGGATTTTACAATTTTCTTAAAAATGGATTTTATTTGAAATGGAAACAGTAAGTATCCTGTCCAAAAATTAAATCCCTTGCTCATGGGTGGACCCCATAAACTTCGGTGAGCACCTCATTGTGTGTCTGCACCTGGTACAGGGCTGGGGTCCCAAACATGAAGATGGACAGGAGGCTTACCTGAGGGACGGTGGCATGAGCTGCACGCCAGGTGGGCATGAGTGCCCAGGAGAGGCCCCCATCACAGGCTGTTTCCTTGGAGTCTGGAGGAGCCACCTGGAAGGGTGTTCTGGGACAGGAATAGCCAACACAAAGCCTCTGAGCAAGGCCACGCTTGGCGTGTTTGCGGAGCCATAGGCCCAGGTACAGCTGGAGTGGATGGATGAGAGGGAGGTCAGAGAGCGAGGGGGCCAGGTCATCGAGACCTCAAGGGCTGTGTGAGTCCTGGTAGCTGATGGGGGGCTGCTAGGAGGCCAGGAGAAGAGAGGGGCCATGGCCTGAGGTGGCTGCCGTGTCAGGGAGAGGCTTTCACTCCGCAGTTGTGGAAGCTGGGAGCAGAGCATGAGTCTTCGAGGGTGGTCAGCTGAAATGGTATGGGGTTCTGTGTGTGTGGAAGGAAGAGCCCAAGACATGCTCATGGGCGAATAGGGTGTCAGAGGAGTCAGGATGCAGGGACCCTTGGCCTGAGCAGTTGCAGAACTGGCCTTCCACTTGCTGAGTAAAATGGCAGGAGGTGCCGCTCTGTGGGGAAGCCAGAAATCTGGGTCTGGACAAGTCCAGATGGACACGTGAGGGGGCCTGTTGGGTTATGAAGCCAGCTAGCCCAGGGCAGGGTCCGAGGAGGCTGGTGACCGCTGTGGTGTGTGGGGGTGAGCAGGCACCAGCCAAGGGGACTGAGCAGGTGTGGCCGGGGCTCCGGGGAACCCGGTGCCTGTGTGAAGAAAGGGGGAGCCAGGGGTCGGCAGGGGTCGGCAGGTTGGGAGAGCTGCTGCGCTGGGGACCGTGGCAGGAGGCTGTCCGTAGTGTGGAAGGGACACGTGTGCCGCTGGAGCTGTTCATGGGAGTTTGGGAGGCAGACGGGATGCCTGTCTGGTGGACGCACTGTGCGGTCATGGGGGACAGAGAGCCGAGGCTGTTAGGACAGGGTCAAGAGAAGATTTTTTTTTTCCTTTTTGGGGCTGGTTTCGGATGAGCCTGCCATCGCAGCGGGTTAATGGTGGAATGATCTGGCAGAGAGGGAAGAGCAAGTAGCTTGGTGAGAAACGGGGGGTCGCCGTGAAGTCGCCCAGGAGGCAGGCGTAGAGGGACCTGGGCCCAGGGAGGGGCCGCAGTCTTGGGGGGGAAAGGCAGTGGGGGCCTGTGCGGAAGCAGGTGGGCGCTGCTGACGTGAGGCTGGGGGAGGCCGTGGGAGCTGCGGTCTGTGGGAGGGGGGAGACGTGTGAGAGACTGCTTCCTGTACCCCGGGAGGCCGGACAGGGAGGGGCCCAGGGACTGCTGCCCAGGGGTGGGAGGAAGCAAGCTGGGAAGTCGTTCCCGGAGCCTGCAGAGGTTCAGATGGGGAAGATCTGAGGCTTGCTGGCCACTTGGTCTCTGCCATAGTCCGTTGTCCGGAAGCAGCCACACCAAACAAATGGGCATCAAACTGTTTCCACACGGCTCCACTTAAAACGTGGCCCGGGCTGGGCGTGGCCGGCATGCGGGGTTTGCCAGCCCTGGTGTAGCTGGGTGCTCTGGTCACGGGGAGGAAGGCAGGGAGACCGCCAGCTGGGAGCCCTGGGGGTGTGCGTGCTGTGACAGGTGACAGGCCATGCCCCCAGCCCAGTGGCACCCCGAGTGAGCGAAGGCCTCAGACGGCTGCTGAGAAGCCAAGAGGGCCGAAGAGGCGGGTGATGGGCAGCATGCAGACGGTGCCGCTGAGACCAGTGAAAGGCATCTGTCCCCCACCAGTCTGCTGAGCCTGCCTTTGTCGAGCGGAAGGACGCGAGCTGAGGGCCAGAGAGACCCAGGCTTGCGCCTCAGCTCGTCCCTGACCGGCGCCCTCCAGAGCTGTGACTCTGCTCCTTCTGCATCGAAGCCTTTCCCGCTTCTGTTTCCCCCTAACCTCTGAGGCTCTGTGCACATAAGAGAGGAGACTAGGGCAGAGCTGAAGTTTTGAACCTTGGGGGCAGTCTGCCCGAAGATTCCTTCCCTGCTTCCTCCCACACATTCCAGAGGAAACACAGTCATCACCCAGCCACACGTCCACGGCTGCCTCCCTTTGGCCTGTGTCCTGAGGTGGACAGTAGAACCCTAAGGCCTCCTGGAGGCTCGGTGTGCTGGGAGAGCCAGTTATTGAAAAATTGTTAGAATTTTGCATGAAGCCAGTTGTGAAACACAGCCCTTATTAAAAATTAAGCTATGTAAATATATGATTAAATTATATTTAAAGCAAGGATTATAAATATTTGTATTTATATATTATAAATATATTACATATTATATTTATAATTTATAACGAAAAAAATGTAAGTTAAGAACTACAGCCAGATCTCAAAGCCGCATGAGAAGTCACTGACGCGGGGTGGGGGGGGGTTGGTTCCTGTACCTCCCGCCTTCCTGAAGCCTCCTCACCTGCTTCTGCATTTGGAACAAAGTCAGAGGGACAGAGAGAGCCTGCCTGTCTCCGGGAGGCGGTGGTCAGGAACACCGACAGGCTGGTGTCCAGGGGCTCCTGCTGGCCACCTCTGGGCATCCCGTAAATCAAAACAGCTGAGAGCCGGCACCTGGCGTGTAAAACAAGAGCCGTGAGCGCACACCGCTTTGATGAAACACAGGAGGGGAATGGGAAGCCCCTCCCCACGGCAGAAAAATCCAGTACTATACACAGGTGGAGGGATGGATTCAGACAGGTCGCTGGCTCGATGTCAGGTGTCTCCCCACAAGAGATGTGCAGTTATGGGGGAAACACAGTCACTCCCAGCAAGCAGCCAGACAGGTGCCCCTGGCTGTGGACACGGGCCTGGACGTCCCAGCCGTGGCTTCCCCGCGCAGGGAGGCAGGGCCCGTTTTTGACACCTCGCCCTTGTCCTTGAGGTTCGCGGGCTTGTTGCTGACCGCGGTTGTGCGGGTGGCCTGCAGAGGAAGGAGGATCTTCTCTTTCCGGAGGGTAGACTGAGCACTGCCCTCCGTGTGTAACGTGCTCCTTGGTGTTGCAGGTGGTAGCAAGGTGCTGCTGAGGCCCCGGACCTCCCAGGAGGTGGCTCACATCCTCAGGTGAGGAGCTGGCACCGCGGGGGCCCATGGGGCCATGGCGGGCGCCTGGGGAGGGCATGCATCAGGGAGGGAGACAGGCCTTTTCTTGCAAACAGCATTCTTTCGTTGTTCTACGCCAGTAAACTCACATTGGAATTGGAAAACAGAAAACCATAAAGAAAACCCCGCGAAAGCAAGCCCTCTCTTCCCTCCAGAGGTGCCCCTGAGGGGTTTTGCTCCCTCCAGCTGCTCCTTCTCTGCCCGGAGTGGTTAACTGCTGTCACATCGTGTCTGTGATGGGAGCACTTCTCTTTCTTCCCCATCTGGCCATTTCCGTGCCCACGTCTAGGTGCTCCTTGCTCTTCCAGGCCAGTTTCTGGCGGAGGTCTAACGGACACGTGGGGGGCTGCATTGCTTTTGGTGGACAGCAGGGGGTGCTGCTGGCTGGGCCTTGTGCAGGGAGAGGTGTGGGCTCTCAGGACGTTTGCGCCGCGAATGCCACCCCATCCGGGACCATGCAGCCTCATGGTAGACCCCAGTCTCCCCAGACTCACCGGCTGAGCGTGGGGACCGAGGAAGCCCCCATGGAGGCCACGGGCAGGAGGAAGGGGGACTCAGGGTTCGGTGGCGTCCTGCAGGGACGGTGGTGTGGGTGGAGGGACGGGACCCCGATGCCCGTCCTGTGCTTGTCCCAGGTACTGTCACGAGAGGAACCTGGCTGTGAACCCGCAGGGGGGAAACACGGGCATGGTGGGGGGCAGCGTGCCCGTCTTTGATGAGATCATCTTGTCCACCGCCCAGATGAACCAGGTCATCAGCTTCCACAGCGTGTCCGGTAAGCCTGCGTGCGGCCAGGTGATGGGGGCCCCGGGCTGGGGAGGAGAGGCTTGGCTCTGTCTGCCCTGGGGGTGCTCTCTGGTCGGTCCCTCAGGTGGCTCGTGCGCTGCACCTGAGGTGAAGGTGGTGGGCTTTTGCCGCAGCCCTTCCGACTCTGACATTTTCTGACCAGGACGGCCCTTGGAAATGGGGTGCAAAGGGTGGGGTACAGGGAAGTATCAGGCGCTTCCCGCTCAGTGGCCCCAGCAGTCTGTCCAGCAGGGCATTCGGGGTGGGGCATCCTCTGTGCTGGGGGCACCTGGGCACGGGAGCTCCATGCCAGCCGCACCCCAAAGTCACACATCCCCGGTGGTTGGATCACCCCTGGGCGAGGGGCCACTGCCTTATAGCGACGCTCTTCTGCTCTTTTCCACAAGAGTGTGTGCCTGAGGATTTTTTTCTTTACTTTTGCCCTAGCAATTTTTCTTTTTCGTGGTAAACGATAAGGGTCACTTCTAGGGGACGGGTCTGGGGACACCCTCCCTTTCCTCGGTCCGGGTTCAGAGGGGGACCCCCGCCCCGGTGGCTGACCCCTGCAGGGGCCCCGCGATGAGTCTCCTGGCTCCTCCTGGGCCAAGAGCACCTGCGGCAGCGCTTTGGCTCGGCAGGGACCCTGGTGTGCCAGGCGGGCTGTGTCCTGGAGGAGCTCAGCCACTACGTGGAGGAGAGGGGCTTCGTCATGCCCCTGGACCTGGGGGCCAAGGGCAGCTGCCACATCGGGGGGAACGTGGCAACCAACGCTGGTGGCTTGCGGTTTCTGCGCTACGGCTCACTGCATGGGACTGTCCTGGGCCTGGAAGTGGTGAGCTGGGGCACCGGCCTGCTTTCCTCGGTGTCCCCTGTGCCCGTGTCCGAGTGGCCCAGCTCCCCAGCCTCTCCCCAGTGCTGAGTGTGCTCAGTGTGTGAGGTCTCCGCAGGGGCCCCGACCCGGCTTGGCTCTGTGGGGTCTGTGCCCTCTCGGGCACTCTCTCTGGGTCTCAGGGGCGGTTGGGGCAGTGTGGGGTGAGGTCGGGAAGCCTTGCGGATGAGGGGTCTACGGGGCGCGGCCGGTGCAGCGTGCATCTCTGCCACGGCCCTGCTCCGCCCTGCCTCCTCACCACCCTGCTCTGGGCCCTGAGCTCCCTGGGGGTGGGAGCATGAAAGTCCTTCTTTCAGCCCGATTGGGCGCCGCAGGCCTGGGGTCACCCCGGGGCCTCCGACTGGGGCAGGGTGGGGGCTCATGCCTGGCTCTGCTTTCTGAGGGCCCGCCCTGGCGTGGGAGCGGGAGGAGAAGGGCGTCCACGAGGGCTCATGTGTAGGGCCTTGCTTCTCTCCTCCTTGGCTAGGTACTGGCCGATGGCACCATCCTGAATTGCCTGACCTCCCTGCGGAAGGACAACACGGGCTATGACCTGAAGCAGCTCTTCATCGGGTCGGAGGGCACGCTGGGGGTCATCACGGCTGTGTCCATCCAGTGTCCGCCCAAGCCCACGGCGGTGAATGTGGCTTTCCTCGGTAGGCAGGCTGTCAGGGTGCACCACTTGGCGCCCTGTCCGTCGGCGTGAGGGAGGCCTCTCTGTTTCCGGAGGAACGGTGCTCCCCGAGTGAGGTCTGCAGGGGAGCCTCTCCCGTCTCGGGGCAGAGCACACTTTGTTCTGGAGCAGAACTGGGGCTTTGCTCAGTTCCGCCACCCTGTCTGGTTCGTTGACTCTGAGGGAGATGGTGTCATTTCTGGTGTGTTTGTTCCCGAATCAGTCACAGCCATAGGAACACTGCCTGCCCTGTCCCCTGCCGTCCCCTGCCGTCCCCTGCCGTCCCCGCCCTGTGCCCTGCTGTCCCTGTCAGCGCACACCGTGCATTCTGTGACATTCCATCATGGGGCGCCCTCTTGACCCCACAGGGCTCCCCAGCTGCCCGTCAGGTCCTCTGCTTCCCGAATGTGAACGGGGCTTGTCTCTCCTCTGAGTCCATGTCCTGCCTCGTCTCCACTCGGAGCCTCACCCTCTGCTAGTTCAGAAGCTGTGGAGACATCCGGTCCTCTCGAGGTCACCGCGGGCGACTCAGCTCCCCAGTCCGTGCGTTCGGCGCGGTCAGCGGTGTCTGCCCCCCGCAGGGTGCAGGATCTTACGGTCTCTAATCTCTCCGGCTGTAATGACTGTTTTCTTACAAACGTGCCGTTTCCTCCGCCCGGCGTGCCTTTCTGCGTTGGGCCCATGCTCCCTGGAAGCATGGTCTCGGTCTCACAGCTGGCCCGTCCGAAATGCCTTCGTTCCCCCTGCTCTGGAGACACTGTCGCACAAGCCCGGCAGCTGAAGGTCATCCCACGTCCCGCCCTCGCGCGGCGGCTTGTGGGGAGGCCCACCGCCCTCTGCGGCTGCCGCTCCCAGTGGTTCTGGTGCTTTGTTCTTGCGGCCGCCGCTCCCAGTGGTTCTGGTGCTTTGTTCTTGCGGCCGCCGCTCCCGGTGATTCTGGTGCTTTGTTCTTTGGTCACTTTAAAGATTATCTCTTTATCTGCAGTCGTCTGTGGTTTGGGGTATGTTGCCTGTGAGTGCACATTTTTACGTCGGGTCTTTTGAGCCTCCTGAGCCCGTGTCTTGGTGTCTCATCAGTTCAGGTCTGCTCTGTCGTCCTCCCCGTGGAGGACTGTGATGGGACCCACGACACAGCAGCCTGTGCTCTCAGTCTCTCCCACGGATTCCACCCTTTTACACTCGCTCACGTTCTGGGTAGTTTCCCATCTGTTTTCCGTTTGCCAGTGTTCTGTCAGCTGTGGTCCCCAGGCGGCCGAGCCCGCCACGTCCAGCCCCACGTTCCAGCCGTGGGACCTCCACGTGTTCCTGGGTGTGCAGAGTAGGCGTCTGCGCCTGGCCTTGCGCTCTGCAGACACACTTCCCCGACACCCACAGGGCTGGTCAGTGCATCTCATCTCAGCCCGGAAGACCCTGCACGTCCCACCCGCTCCCCAGGGCAGGGTCAGTCTCCTGGGCCCTTCCCACCTGCCCCCGGCCGCTGCACAGCCGGCTGCCCGGGCCTGGGACGCCTCAGAGACTCTCCTTGTTCCGTAAGTTGAGTGACTCACCCAGGGCTGCTGGAAACCCAGTGCTCACTGTGCTGAGAGGAACGTGGTGAAGCCGTTGGCCGGCACGGCCCCGTCTCTGGCCCTGTGTCTACACCACGGCCCCCCTGGTCCCCCCACATTCCTGAGTGCCCTGGGTTCTCAGACGAACATTTCCCCCTTGATCGCCACTACCCGTGATGTGCGTGCCACTGACCAGCAGGTGTCCCTGTGGGGTGCTCTGCTGCTTGACGGGGCCACCCTGCTCACCAGGACCCCCACCCGCTGGGGCCACTTGGCACAGCTGCTCTCCAGGGGCCCCTGGGTGGTCCGGCCGGGGCTCTGGCACCTGTGCCTGAGGTCCTGTTGTCTTTGCAGGTTGTCCAGGCTTTGCTGAGGTTTTGCAGACCTTCAGCAGCTGCAGGGGGCTGCTGGGTGAGATCCTGTCCGCGTACGAGTTCATGGACGCCGAGTGCATGCGGCTGGTCACACACCACCTGTGCCTCACCAGCCCGGTGCAAGGTACTGACCCCCTGTGGGCGGGCGGCACCCGCCGCTGCCCTCACGCCCAGCTCTTGGGGCCTGCTCCCAGGTTGGCAGTCCTGTCTGCAGAGCAGGGGGTGGCAGGGAGCAACTGCGCGACTCCAGCGTCGCCATAACCGACGAGCCTGTGATTCTCTTGGCCGCATCATAAATGTGCCCCCAGAGCTGGTTCGGTTGGTGCTGCCAGAGCTCCAGGGTCTCTGGGAAACCACAGTGCGCTGGTCAGAAATGCTTCTCTTTGGCCAAGAGGAGCCACCCCTCCGTGGAGGCTTGCAGCGCATCCTTTGCGCATTACCAATAGAACACCGACTCAGTGTTTCAGAAAGCAGTTTGGCGTCATGCACCTGGAGGACAGAGCATTCCACTGTGGGTCTTGGTATTTCCACTTCTGAGATCTTCCTACAGAAACGGTGGTGGTTTTAGCGCAGGCGGTCCCGGCAGACACCACAGGCTCGGGGCGTGTGCACAAGACGCTTGTTTCTCACGGCCCTGGAGGCTGGGAGTGTGAGATCGTGGGGCCAGCTCGGCCGGGTTCCGGTGCGGCTGGCCGCGTCCTTGCTGTGTGCTCACGTGGCCTTTGTGCGTAGGGGGAGATTAGTGGTGCCTCTTCCTCCAAAGTGGGCAGCAGTCCTGTGGGATCAGGGCCCCACTCTTATGGCCTAATGTAACCTTAATTACCGCCCTACAGTCACGTTGGGGGTGGGTGAGGGCTTCACTGTGGAATTTCAGGGGGAACACAACTTAGTCTCTAGCAGTCATAGATACGGAAAGATCTTTACGCTCTAAATTTTTATTGAAGTGCTGCTTTTAGTACAAGAAACCAGAAAACAATCTAAATATCCAGTAGTAAAGAAATAAGAGGGCGCCTGGGTGGCTCAGTTGGTTAAGCAACTGCCTTCGGCTCAGGTCATGATCCTGGAGTCCCGGGATCGAGTTCCGCATTGGGCTCCCTGCTCAGCGGGGGGTCTGCTTCTCCCTCTGACCCTCTTCCCTCTTGTGCTCTCTATCTCTCATTCTCTCTCTCTCAAATAAATAAATAAAATCTTAAAAAAAAAAAAAAGAAATAAGATATGATACAATCACTGGAAAGTTGAGGGGCCCATGGGTGGATGGAGGGTCCCTGGGCGGATGGAGGGTCCCTGTGTGGACAGCATCCCTGGGTGGATGGAGGGACCCTGCGTGGACAGCATCCCTGGGCGGATGGAGGGTCCCTGCGTGGACAGCATCCCTGGGTGGATGGAGGGACCCTGCGTGGACAGCATCCCTGGGCGGATGGAGGGTCCCTGCGTGGACAGCATCCCTGGGTGGACGGAGAGTCCCTGCGTGGACAGCATCCCTGGGCAGATGGAGGGTCCCTGGGCGGATGGAGGGTCCCTGCGTGGACAGCATCCCTGGGTGGATGGAGGGACCGCCACCCAGTAGAGGCCACCCTACTGTCCCGGTCAGATCTCTTTGACTGTGGAAGCAGACAGGAAGGAGTGTTGTTGAAACATGCTCGGTCGCTATATTTTGCAAATTGGGAAATTTGTTTTTTTTATTTTTACTTGTCTTTGTTTTCCAAATTCCCTTTTATAAGCATGTTTTACTTTTGTAATTGGAAAAGGAGCCAATAGAAATTAAAACCCTCCCAGTGTTTTCTAGGACATAAGATAAATTAAAGAGCAGAATTTGCATTTCAGCATGGAAAAATGCTGGTATCTGGAAAACACTTGTTCTCTTTATAGTAGGACAGGCTTGTAGTATTTTTCTGGTAGTGTAGTATTTTTAATGTAGTGCTAAAAGGAAGAACTGCATTTGGTGAGTTTTCAGTAAGTTAAAAATAAATTCACAGTAGCCTTGAAAAAGAGGCTTAACGTTTTTTTATAGTTCCTAAAGCATTTTTTTTTTAATTTTAAAAAAGAGATATGTTGGGTAAAATCATGCCTTTTTTACATGTTGTGCTATGCATTGTGGGCATCACAGGCCATCATGGGCACGGGGGCCTCTTTAGCCCGTGGCCTCCCCACCACTGTGGTTTGGTGAGGGGGCTCCTTGCCCACAGCCCCATGCAGGTGCCCATGGCGTCGCTCAGGGTGGTTTGTATGTTTCTGGGGAGTGTGGTTTCTCTTCCAGTGGAAGACCTATTTTTATTTTTTTTATTTTATTATTTTTTAAGCTTATTTTTTTAGTAATCTCTACACCCAGTGTGGGGGTTGAAGTCACAACCCTGAGGTCAGAAGTCACACACTCCTCCCACTGAGCCAGACAGGCACCTTTGCAGACCTTCAGCAGCTGCAGGGGGCTGCTGGCTGCCGTCCCCGCCCTGTGCCCTGCTGTCCCTGTCAGCGCACACCGTGCATTCTGTGACATTCCATCATGGGGCGCCCTCTTGACCCCACAGGGCAGCACAAGCAGGGGGAGTGGGAGAGAGAGAAGCAGGCTTCCCGCGGAGCAGGGAGCCCGATGTGGGGCTCGATCCCAGGACCCTGGGACCATGACCTGAGCCGAAGGCAGACACTTAACGACTGAGCCACCCAGGCGCCCCAACCTATTTTTATTTTTTTATATTTATTTGAGAGAGTGAGTGAGCGCATGCTAGAGCGTGGGGAGGAGTAAAAGGAGAGGAACAAGCAGACTCCCTGCTGAGCGCGGAGCCTGACACGGGGCTCGATCCCACGACCCTGAGATCACGACCTGAGCTGAAGCCAGGAGTCGGATGTGTAACCGACTGAGCCCCCCAGGTGCCCCATGAAAGACCTATTTTTAAGCCATTGGAGATAAAGCCTGGACCCAGTCTTCCTGCTCCGTGGGCCGCACCAGGGCTGTCAGAGACGCTCAGCCAGGCCGGCCCAGACCCCTCCTAGCTCTGTCCGACAGCCTCTGTTCGCCCATTCTGTGCCTTCCAGAAAGTCCATTCTATGTCCTCATCGAGACCTCAGGCTCCAGAGCGGAGCACGATGCTGAGAAGCTGAGTGACTTCCTGGAGCAGGTGCTGAGCTCCGGCCTGGTGACGGACGGGACTGTGGCCACGGACCAGATGAAACTCAAGGTGTGTGGGTGCTGCTGGTGCCTCCTCGCGTCCCTCGCACTCTGCTGGTCCAGGACATCTGCGCAGGGCCCCGTGTCCAGCTCGGAGCACGTGGTGTCTGAACGTGAGCAGGTGTCCTGCCTCTTGGGAAATGTACTTTGGGTCTCGTCATTATCAGCAGTATTTTTATTTTATTAATTTGATTTGATTTAATTTAATTTTTTATTTACTTTTTAAAAAACATTTATTTGAGGGCGCCTGGGTGGCTCAGTTGGTTGGGTATCTGCCTTCAGCTCAGGTCATGATCCCGGAGTCCCGAGATTGAGTTCCGCATCGGGCTCCCTGCTCAGCGGGAAGTCTGCTTCTCCCTCTGACCCTCCCCTCTGTCATGTGTGCTCTCTCTCTCTCAAATAAATAAATAAAATCTTAAAAAAAAAAAAGGTTTATTTACTTGAGAGACAGTGTGTGAGCGTGAATTGGAGGGAGGAGCAGAGGGAGAGAGAGAACATCAGACCCCGCCAGGCGTGGAGTGTGACGCAGGATTCCATTTCACAACCCTGAGACCATGACCTGAGCCGAAACCAATAATTGGACACTTATCACCATCCTTGGGAGACCTGGGGCGCTGGGAGCCTCTGTCACCATCCTGGGGGGCCCGGGGCGTCGGGAGCTTGCGTCACCATCCTGGGGGGACCTGGGGTGCTGGGAACCTCTGTCACCATCCTGGGGGGCCCAGGGCGCCGGGAGCCTCCATCACCATCCTGGGGGCACCCGGGGCACTGGGAGGCACTGTCCCATATTTGTGCACCATGGTCCCTGGGGCTGTGGTGTGAGAGTGGCCATCTTGGGCAGGGTCAAGGGAGGACGTGCGTCTGGGCCAGGGCCGTATGTGAGTCTGGGCGCCCCTGGGTGTGAGTGGGGAGCCGGGTCTCAGGCTGGCTCTTACGATGGACCTGTTGGGTTTCCTGGTGTACCTTGTTATTAAACCTTCTTTTTCATGGTTGTTTCGTGAGTTTAGTAAATACTAAGTTAGGAGTTCCAACACTGTTGAGGTGCATCTGACCCCACCTGCAGACGAAGGGCCTCGCGCTGCAGCCTCGTCCTGTTGGGGAGTGAGGACCTGTCTCCCCGCCCCGCCCCACCGCTCCATTGTCCCCACTGGGTGATCTCACTGCTGGAGGGAGAACCAGGCAGGGCGTCTGGTTGTGTCCTCCGGGGTGTCCCGTGTGTCTCCCACGGTGTCGTGCAGGCCACACCAGCCGGAGGAACGTGGGCAAGTCCTTCACTCCCAGCACAGGCTCAGTGCTGTTCTCTGCTGCCAAAGATGCGTAACTGTGTCTCCACATTTGTCTCTGTTTCTTCCTAAATGCGCTGTGTGTCAGCAGTGGGAGTGAGGAGCAACCCCAGGCCTTGGGGGCAGTAAGGAGAGGCTCCCCACTGTGCGCTGGCCTGTGCCCAGTCCTGTCTCCACCAGAAGGAAAGCTGGTGTTCCAGGCTTGTGGTGGGGGCCGGCAGGCGGTGCTGCTCAAGGCTCGTCGGCCACAGCGAGTCCCGAGAGCCCGCTGCCCGGGGTGGGCAGTGGCATGGGGCTGCCATGTGCACCCACGCTGGTCCCTGCTCGGTCTGGACCGGTGACTCCACAGCAGCGTTCTCCAGCGGCCCCGGGACACCGGAGGAAGTGGGCCGGCTTCCCTCGCAGATGGCGTTGCCCTGGTGGGCAGGACGTGGCATGGTTGTGGCCAGGGGACATTCCTGAAGGGACCTTTGAGCAAAGATAGGAGGGAAGCAGGAACAAGCCTCAAGGGTACCTTTGCAGGAGCATAAGTGTCCCGAGGGGCTTGTGCCTGCCTGGTTCCAGAACATCTAGAGATGGTGGGATGAGCAGGGAGGGTGGGTGGCAGGCAAGGGGCAGGTCTGTGGCCGTGGTAGCATGTGGCGGATGTGAATGGACGGGGAGGAGCCCGTGGGCGGTAGGACGGCCCTGCAGTGCTCCAGCTTGGGTCCAGCGGCGTGGCAAGCTGTGCAGGGTCGTTGCTGGTCTGGGTGTGTGAGGAAGGTGGCGGGCGGGAGCCACTGAAGGTTGGGTGCAGAGAGTCGGGGAGAGGGCACAGAGGGACCTCGCAGTGACCCCGAAAGCTGATGAGAGAATCAGGGAAACCAGACACTGGCAGGTGTCCGTGGCAGTAAGGGGTTCTTGCTGCTCTTTTGGGGGCGGTCCTGGCTCTGGGCTCGTGTGGAAAAGCAGGAGGAGCCAGTGCTTCCCGCGCTGGAATTTTGCTGTGACAGTTCCTGACTCGGGGGACATGGGGAGGGCAGGACAGGGCTCAGCCCCACAGAGGAGTGATGGCGCATTCGGCTCTGTTTCCTCTGCTCCGTGACTCGGACTTCAAGTGTCCACCGTGACCGGTCAGCCAGCCAAGCCAGTAAGCCACGGGCGGCTTTGTCTGGAAGGGCAGTGATGTGATGAGCCCCCCGCTCCCCAGGCCCCCTCAGCGCCCCGCGCCACCCTCACTCTCCTGCTCCAGCTGCCAGCACCCCTGCCCGCCCACAGCCTGCGTGTGTCTTGGGCAGCCCAGGGCCCCATGGCCCTGTCTCCTCTGCAGTGTCTTCTCTGCCCGACTGCCATTGCTCAGGTTCTCTCACGGAGCGGTGGCCCCAACCGTCACTCAGGGTGTCCTCCGTCCTCCTGGAGAGGGGCCGTCGGTGTGTCCTGGGGTGAGCCGTGGCCGCTTTCTGGGGCCTCGTCCAGTACGGACTCTTGGATCAGAGCCCCATGTTTGTCACAACACAGAACATTTCAGTCACCTGGAAGGTTCCATTGTGACCTTCCCGGTCATGCCAGGCCACCAGCGTTCTAACTGCCGTCGGCACAGACACCCTCACAGTGCTCCCTTTGACTTTGTCTGTTTTCTGTCTGTTCTAGGCGCTGTGGGCCCTGAGGGAGAGGATCTCGGAGGCGCTGAGCCAGGACGGCTACGTGTACAAATACGATCTCTCCCTGCCCACCGAGAGGCTCTATGACCTCGTGCCCGACCTGCGCGCCCGCCTTGGCTCGCGGGCCAAGCACGTGGTGGGCTATGGCCACTTGGGTGAGCTGTTCTGGAGTCAGGCGGCGATGGGGGATCCTGGTTGTTGGGAGAACGCTAATCGTCTTCATGGTTCTTTGGGTATTTTGGAAAGGACCTCTGACTGGCCGCCGCGGTGCCCCTCCCTTGGCCTGGCCTACGGTGTCACTGACGAACTCCTTCCCCCTCCCCCTCACGAGCTGCAAGCGTTTTATATTTTTTTATTTTTTATTTTCAAGATTTTATTTATTTGCGAGAGCAAGCACACGAGCAGGGGGAGTGGCAGGCAGAGAGAGAGGGAGAAGCAGGGGGTGCAGGGTGGTGGAGGACTAGCATCGTCCGAGGGCCGGGGGTGGGGAGAGGAGGCCGCCGGCCAGCCTACCTCCTCGTGGGGCACTGAGTGCAGCCTCTGCCACCGGCAGAGCCCGGGCGCCCACTGGGCACATCAGGAGCGGGTACTGTGCGAGTTGGGAGCGTCTCCGGGGTCTGGCGGGGCGACTGGGCTGGTTTCCCTGGGGTCAGCAAGGCTGTTCCCACCGAGCCCCTTGTGCAGGTGGGGCTGTGGTCCGGGGGTCGCCTGGCTCGGCCACAGCCCTCTGCGTTGTTTGGTCCGCGTGCCTGTGTTCTGTGCAGGGTTTTCCCCGGCCTCGTCCTGGGCCATAGCATCCCATAGGTCCCTTCCCCGTGTCTGTGTGGACGCCATCATCACCCCACAGCGGCGTGACCGTGGTCTCTCCTTCGGGCCCCGAGGGGTCTGACTGGTTGGCGTTACCGCCTCCTTGGCCATCTGGCGGGAGCTGCGGTGAAGATTTGAGGCTGGAGGGTTTGTGCACTGGGCGGCCAGCATGGGCACCCGGTCACTGTGGTCCAGGAGCCCAGGTGTCCTCATGTCTGTGCACTCAGCCAGAGGGCACGTGGGGGAGCCAGTGTCCAGCGTTTTGTGCTGCTTGCTGGGCTTCTGGGCTCCTGGCCCCAGTGCTACTGGCTCCCACCCTTTGGTTTCTGTCCCATCTGCCGCTCTGACCTCAGCCCCAGGCTCTGGGGAGGGGCCGGGGTGGAGGGTGAGGCCAGCCCGCCTGAGCGGAGAGCCTCCGCAGTGGGCGCTGTCGCGGTGTCTGTGCTGAGACCACACTCGGTCCCACGTGTTTTCTGACTCCCAGTCTCGTTTCTTTGACCCATCAGTTAGGCAGAAATGTGAATTCCCAAACTTATAGGAGTTTTCTAGCTGTTTTTTTTTTTTTAAGGATTTTATTTATTTATTCATGAGAGATAGAGAGAGAGGCAGAGGAAGAGGCAGACTCCAAAGGAGCAGAGAGCCCGATGCGGGACTCGATCCCAGGACCCTGGGATCATGACCTGAGCCGAAGGCAGACGCCCAACCATCTGAGCCACCCAGGCGCCCCTTTCTAGCTGTTTTTAAAAAACTACTGATTTGTTGTTCACTGCATCATTGCCGGAGAGCCTGGTCTTGGTCACACTGGTGTGTTCTCCTCGGTCGGCTTTCCTGGCGGTTCGTGAGTCCTTGCAGAAAACGTGCTCTGTGCCGTCTGGGAGGCCAGTGTGGGACCCACCGGATCAACTGCCTGCGCGCGTGGTCTGTGCTGTGTGTCCCGCGGACGCTGGCCACGGAGCGGGGATCAACAGTCTGCACGACGGTGACAGGCCGCATCCTTCTGTGGCTCCATCAGCCTCGAGGATGGGAGTTCGCACCTGTCATTTCATTCTAGGGTAAACGGGCTCTCAGCACGACAGACTCTTCTGACTGCTGGATTCGCTCTGGCCTCGGACCAGTCACATGGGCTCCTTGAATTTAATCTTTTTCTGACATGTTGTTTTTCTTCCCATTACTTTCCACCGTTTTCCATTCTACAGCTTAAACGTGTCTTTTGTAGACGACACGGGGATGGTCTCTGTCATGCAGTTTGTCGTTTGTTGTCTTTATTTTTTATTTTTTTAAAAAATATTTATTTGAGAGAGACAGAGCATGAGCAGGGGGAGTGGGAGAAGCAGGCTTCCCGCTGAGCAGGGAGCCTGATGCGGGGCTCCATCCCAGGACCCTGGGATCATGACCTGAGCCGAAGGCAGATGCTTCACCAGCTGAGCAACCCAGGTGCCCCTCCTGGGGCGTATTTTAGTTCTGTTTTCCGCCCCGGGTAGCAGTGCCGCTGTTACGCGGCTGTGTCGGTGGAGGCTCAGCCATGCCTGCGTCCCTCTCTGGTGTCGCGGCCTCTGTCTGAGTCTCAGCCTCGTTTCCTGTCGTGCGGGACAGGAGGTGACGGAGCTTCACGGATTTCATTTGCCTGGTCTTTGACTCGAACACTCCACGGTGCTGACTTGCCGTGTTGCTGTCCGCAGGGATCTGGTTTTTCTTCTCTTCCATGTCACTGGTTTGTCTGGGTGAGTGTTTGCGTGTCCACCCGGGCGCCGCAGGGCGGTGGCAGTAGAGATGGCTCCGCCTGTCCCCCTCCCCCCACCCCTGCGGCTCCCCATCCGCTTTCCCTGCTGCCCAGCTCTGACTGCACCTTGTGTTCAGATTTCTCTTCCGTGTCACTTATCTTTGCTTTGAGTAACGCGTCGAAACCTGTTTGTTGACTTTGACCTTTAAGCGATCGGTATTTTCCGTTTCTAGGAAGTTGGTTGAGATATTTAAGATGTTTGTTTGATCAGTGTCTTCTTTTCTTTATTTCTTATTTCTGTAAATACATGAAGCATTTGTGCTCTGTTTCTGGAAATTGCAGGATCTGAAGACTTTGTGGGTCAGGTTTGCTGGCTCTTGCTCATCGTGGCTGCTTTTCTTGTGTGTGTGGAGTTTTTGGTGTGGGCTCGTGTATCGCAGGGCTTTGTCTGTGGGGACTACTTGAGGCCTGGGTCGGAGGTGATTTGCTTGTGCAGGGGGTGCAAGTGGGGGTGGGGACTGGGGTCCTGCCTGCTGGAACCTCTCCCATCTTCATGTTCCAGCTCAGGGTCCGTGGGACCGCCCAGGTAGCGGGAATTCTAGCCGGAACCTGTGCAGGCTGGCTGATGGGTGTGCAGGGCCCTCTGTGGGGGTTTGGAGCCTCTGCCCTCAGGTAGCAGCGGTTCGCTCTGGTGGGAGGGGGCTCCCTCTTGTGTTCCCTACATCCGATAGGCCCGGAGGGGGGTGGCACAGGAGAAGCTCTAGGTCACCGGGTCAGAGGCCCTAGGCCTGCCCACTGTGTTGCCCTGGGGTTTGCTCTGTTTGCTCCAGCCTCTAGGAGCCCCTCCTGTTGGCTAACGAGGCTCTCTGCCCCTCACGGTGGGCGGCAACTCTCCCTGGGCCCGACCCCCCATCTGCTCGGCCCTTCCCACCTTCCTGACCTCTGAGTCTGGGAGTGGGGGCCTCCTGTCCGCGTATCTGCACTTGCCCCTGCACTGAATGTTCACCTCCCGGGCGAGGGCCTCACTACAGGTCGGTCTGCCTGGGCCCACGGAGTCCTGTCTCCCTCCTCTGCTGGCCAGACGGCAGCCAGCTATCATGGCCCCGGCCCTGGATCTCCTGCCCGCCTTGCCTTGGCTTCATCCTGTGTCTCGTCATTGCTTTGGGGCCCCCGAGAGGGGTGCACGTGGGCGGTGAGCCAGGCCGTCCACAGAGCCAGAGCCAGGGCATGTCTGGATGTCTCAGCGAGGCCAGAGAGCATGGGGCCAGGGCTTTGTGGTGGGCATTGGCGGGGCATGTGGAGCTGTTGGCAGAGGCTGCCGTGGGCACTGTTGGGAGGTGTGGGTCTGGTGATAGCCATGGGTGTGGTCTGGGCCCGGGCTCTCACTGGCTGGGCGGGCGGGCGGGCACCGTGAGCTGGGAGCCTCAGAGGGGCCGTGCAGGTAGAGGGGAGGACTTGGAGTGGTCCCCAACGGGCCACTTTGGTCACTGCATGCCAGTGACCAGTGGAACGAGGCGTGGGGGCGGGAGGACTGGGGCCTGTCAGGGAGGGGTCTCCGCCTGCCCGGCCTGACCCAGGGTTCCCTGTCCCTGCAGGGGACGGTAACCTGCACCTCAATGTGACATCAGAGGCCTTCAGCCCGTTGCTGCTGGATGCCCTGGAACCCTACGTGTACGAGTGGACAGCCAGGCAGCGGGGCAGCGTCAGCGCCGAGCACGGCCTGGGCTTCAGGAAGAGGGACGTCCTCAGCTACAGCAAGCCGCCCGAGGCCCTGAGGCTTATGCAGCAGCTCAAGGCCCTCCTGGACCCCCAGGGCATCCTGAACCCCTACAAGACACTGCCCGCCCAGGCCTGACAGGGCCTGCGGGGTCGGCAGGAGACACAGGAGGGGCCTTGGCCTGACTCTGGTTTTGCCTGTGGTGGTGGGCCTGCAGGGTTGGGGTGAGCTCGGGGGTTTGTGCCGTGGGGCAGCAGCAGGTGGGGTGGTCCAGCCACCGGTTGGAGGGGCCCAGTCAGCCCCCAGGCGGGATTCTTTCTGGCTTCTGCTCTCTCGGCCTCTGCGCGGGCACCGTCTACCCCTCTGCCCGCTCGGAGAGGGCCTCCTGCTGACGTCCTGCGGGGGCCGGGTGGGCAGGGAGACCAGGCCACATTCCGCTCTGCGGTGGGCTGCAGCTGTGGGAGGGGGCATGCGTGGTCCCATCACTGGATCCCCCACGCAGTATGCATCCCCGGCAGAGGCGATAAGCTCCGTGGGACAGTGTGGGGCCCGTCCCGGAAGTCTGACCGACGGCCTGGGTCACTGGCGGCTTTGGGCCAGAGTGACAGGGAGGGTCTCCACCCTGGAAGGCATGGTTCCCCCATTTTCTAGAAGGCCCATCCATTGGCAAGCCAGTTGTCAGAGTTAGTCACTAATGGCTCACCCTGGTGGTTTGCAGTGATGTGTCTGCACTCCACTTCAGCATCCAACATCCGTGAGGCCAGGATGTGCCTGAGCGTGAGTGCACAGCGGGGCAGGCTTGGCACACACACTGCACCCCAACCTGCTCCCCGCTGTTGCCGAGGCCTGGGACTGCTCCTGGGGCTGTGGGGAAGGTCTGGACATGTGTTTTCTTTCTGGCTGTAATGAACTTCCAGTAAAATGGGAATTAATCACGACGCTCTCCTTGCTTCTGTTACTAGAAAAATCTCGTGAAGCCTGTGGTGAGGTGCCTGCAGGTGCCTGTTCCCTGAGCACTGGAACACTGGGGGCCGACACAGTGACTCCAGGCCTCACCCCTTTGCTCCCATCCCCGCCCCCGACTGACTTAAAACCCCATGGGCTTGGCCTCCCCAGGGTTTCCTGGAGCTGTGGGAGGCGGTTCGTGGTGGTGGTGTGCGCTGGGGGTGTTGAGGCTGCAAGGCGGCTGTTAGCGAGTCGGAGGACTCAGCGGGTTTACTGTGGAGAATGAAACATGCATGATGTATTAAAAGGCGGAAGATTTTAGGTGTCTTCTGCGAGAGTAGGGGGGACATTAAGGTGGTCCAGTGACTGGGGGTCCCAGGGAGGAGGTGGCAGGAGGAACCTCCATTTCCCCGGAGGATGAGCTGGTTCCGCAAATGTCAGAATGTGAAGTGGCCCACTCGTGGGGTGTGCGCTGCAGAATCCACCTGCACACACACACATGCACACACAGTACACACGGTCCGTGCACAGATGTAGCACAGACGTACGGTACACACGTGTACACATGGTCCGTGCACAGATGTAGTGCACATGTATGGTACACACGTGCACACGCAGTACACGCAGTCCGTGCACTGATGTAGTGCACACGTATGGTACACACGCGTGTACACGCAGTCCGTGTGCAGATGGAGCACACATGTATGGTACACACGCAGTACACGCGGTCCGTGCACAGATGTAGCACACAGGTATGGTACACACATGTGTACACGCAGTCCGTGCACAGATGTAGTGCACACGTATGGTACACACACACATACACTATGCTGTTAGGACAGCGCCCTAGACCCACGGAGTGCTGGCCACCTGCCTTCATGCATGTGGCGAGCAGGCTCTCCAGCCGTGGGCTACCGTGAGTCCTGGTGGGGTGTCGGTCCGAGTGCAGTGAATTCCGTACCATCCGGCCTCTCACGGCCACGTGGCCACAGCAGACATTATGTGAAAAGAGCAGGAAGCCGGGCTGTCAGGAATGTTGACAACGCAAAGCCTGTCTCCAGCCGCGAACCCGGCTCCCACTGGGACCAGCTCTGCAGCATGTGGGGCTTCTGCTGAGGATAATCCCTGAACGTGCCTGAGGAGTTGAGGGGTGCTATTGTATCTGGATTAGGAAGAACTTATGATTTTCGCCTTAAGCCTCTAAGCTGCTGCAACACAAGAAGAGGTTGTACTATAGAGGGGCCAGTGCCCCTCACCGCTCCTGGCCGGTGCCTGCCAGGCCCCCAGTTGGAGGGGCCCAGGGCATAGCGAGGAAGAAGCCCCGGCCAGGGGCCTGAGCTGCTGGATGAGGGAGGGAGGGAGCGGGCCTGGTGGTCTTAGCCCAGAGTACAACGCTGGGGACCCAGGAGGCTACCCACCCCTCAACCCCAGGGACGTGGCTGGGGGCTGGGCAGCCCTCCTCAGGCCTGCAGGGAGCAGAGTCCTTGGGGGAGCTGACTTCCTATAAGCTCAGGGCTGTGCTCTCTGATGATTGTGGGCCCTGAGGGCTTGGAGGAAGAGTTTGGGGGTCCTGTGGCCCCACAGGGCCCCTGAGGGCATCCATCAGGGTGCTACCCCGTGGAGGGGAAGAGGTGACAGGCTGTAGGACACTGTGCCCACTGACCAGTGACCGTGCTCATGCTGACATAGGCCCAGGACTGACCCTCACGGGGACTGGGGGTATACTCAGCAGGCTTCTCCCACCCTGCTCCTCCCCAGTATACTACCTGCCATCCTAGGCTTGAGGCCCTTTGGACCTCAGGAGTTGGGGAGAGCCACTGGGTCTTGTCCTGCCAAAGGTTCAGACCCCAAAGGCCAGGTGGGCGGTGGGGACATGGCCTATTCCCTGGGGTGGTGAGGAGGAGTGTGCTGGCTGGACCCCCCCGCCCCCCCGGGCAGCCGTGCCTCACAGTGGCCCTTGGGCGAGCCTCCCGTGTGCATTGGCATATCCTGCCCCCTGCTCTGTGGGGACAACCAGAGTCACTGTGAAGTTTCCAGAATAGCTCCTGGGCAGGGGTGTGTGAGGAGGGAGCTTCCTGGGTAGTTCTGGTTCCTGGCTCCCCTCCCTGCTGGCTCTGGCCCATGGGCATGAAAGTACATGCTCCATGGGACAGTAGCCCAGTCAGATCATGTCCCTTCATTTCTGGGCAGAGTGTGCAGGGCCCAGAGCTGCTTCTGGGCGCTGTGGCCATGGGCCTTGGACAGCAAGGGAGGTGGGTGGCACGTGGGTCTGAGAGGGGCAGAGGCAGGAGGGCTGGGACCTGTTAGACCTGGCTGCTTGTGTATTTGCTCGCCCTTGGCCCCAGAAGCAGAGAAGTGGGGGGCAGTACCTCTTCCCCAGGCTCTGGTCGTGCTCCCAACTCGGGCCCCAGGGAGAAGTTCACGTACATGATTCAGAGCCAGGGCCCTGAGGGCCTGCTCTGTGGACAGCGGCTGGCAGAGGTCCTGGCACTCTCTGTCTCCAGAGCCCTGGGCCAGCAACAAGGGCGTGTCTCCACGTCCGTCCATCCCCTGCAGGACCAGCCTGCATGCCCAGCACGGCAGTGGGAGCCCAAGCAGGGCCACGCGGTGGAGGCACCCTGCCCGTGCTAGATGGCCCCCCCTGTGAGGCAGGCCAGGAAAGCGTGGACAGGGACCCTGTAGCTGGGCAGCATGGGAGTGACCATTGGGCCCTCCGGGTGTGGTTCTGCACCTGCTCCCAGCCTCCCCTGGAATCCTCTTGCTGTGGGTAAGCTAGAACCCCGTGGACCCTGCTCTCGTGGGGGCTCCGGGCCACGATGGTTCCTTCCCTCCATCCCTGGGGCTGGGCCACTGAGGCTCCACGTCACGTTGCTTTGTCCTGTTCTGCTCCCCAGCCCCGGTCCGAACTGGGGGTGTGCAGCAAATGGCCCCGAGCCTCAGCCCACTCTTCCTGCCCGGATCCAGGGGGAGGGACCCCAACTGCACTGCCACATCCCCGGGCCCCAGCATCTGTAAGTGTGGGGATCAGAGAGGTGACTCCCGGCTGACTCCTGGCTGACGACATTCTAGGTTTGGGCAGCTGGGTGGAACAGCAGCGTCCCCCTTAAAGGTGGAGCAGGGCGGCCCCCCGTGACTTCACAGAGGGCAGGGTGTGGGGGCTGCACAGTGTGTCCAGGTGGAGAGTTGTCTGCCACCTGCCATCAGAATCATGACTTTGGGCCACAGGTGTGGGAAAAGCAGGGAAGGAGGCAGTGGGGCATCTCTGGGGGCCCACGTCCACGCTGCCCTCTGGGCCTACCCTGGACAGCCTGTGGAGGGTGACGTGGTGCTCCCCACTCCAGGGCCCTCCTCAGAGTGGACGCTGGGGCTTGTGGGTGCATCCCAGCTGAGGGGCAGCAGGACCCCCTCTGAGACTGGCCCTCCCCACCCTGTCCTGCCTGCGGGGTCGCCCAGCCACAGGGCACAGGGAAACATCTGCCCCGAGTGGGGCCTCTGTGGGGGCTGGGCAAGAAAGAAGCCCACTGTCCGCTCACTGAGCCCACCACCTTGATAGGGGCATCCCAGGGTGGTGCCAAGGTCCCTTGTCCGCCCCATCCTGTCTCCAGGCCTTGGAGGGTTGAAAGGGTCATCCAGCCAGGTCTCCCAAGTACAGAGCCTCGTGATGCCGCCGCGGGGTGGGCTTGCGTCCGCAGGGTGGCTCCCATGGGCGTCTCCTCTCCGGGAGCCCCCGCACCCGCCTTCCCCACCCCGTGGCCCGTCCTTGCCCTGTCCTCCCCGAGCTCAGCACCACCCTTCATTGTCTCCCCACCCCCTTCGGCCTCCCAGCCCCCAGTGGCCCTCCAGGCTGCAGGGCTGTCCCGGGGCTTGTGGCTCCAGACACCAGGTGCCTCCAGCCGCAGCGCCCCTGGACCCTGAGCTCCGCCCATCACTGCCCGGGCCACGGGCAGGGCCAGGCCTTCAGGACCGGCAGCTCCATGGCTTCTCCAGCTGCTCAGGATGGAGCCAGGCGCTTCTCATGGGGCTTGGCACAGCGACCTGACCACCATGTGTGAGACTCTGGCCCCAGGAGGGGCAGCGGATGCCCACCTGGGAGCTGGTGGACAATCAGGGTCACAGAAGCAGCACATCAGGAGGAAGGGAATTGGTCCCAGCAACAACGAAATCGGAGGCCCTGGCAGGCAGGGAAGTGGGGTCTCCATGCTGGAGAGTCCTGGCCCTGTGCCCACGTGGGGGCTCCTTCCGTCTCCAAGTGGACAGATGGACGACTGCCCTCAGTCAGCCAGAAGGGTTCTTTCCCTGACGGGGGCCGGGGGCCCTCCTGACGGGGATGAAGGACATTTTGAAGCTATAGTGATGGCTGTTTGCCCTGCTTTGTCAGCCCCACGGCAGCCCTTCCCGGACGGCCAGGCAAGCACCTGCGCCTCTGCCCAGGGAGGGGTGACCCCAAGGAAGCAGAGGAGGCCCTGTGCTGCAGGAAGGACCGGACATCTCTGGACTGGGCTCCCTGTTGTGGGGAGGGGGCCGAGGACATGGTGGCCAGGACCGGACGAGGGACTCGGACAGAGGGGAGGGGGTCCACAGTCTGTCCAGGGCCCAGGGCCAGGCCCCTCCATCTGTGAGCACCCTCCCTGGGGCACCTGGGTTGGGGCTGGGGGTGTTGCACAGGATGTCCCACGGATCACAGGAGGGGCCTCCTGTGGGGGAGCTACTCCCCACCCCCTGCGTGGGCCGTCACTTCGTGGTGGCCCCACACCCACCCTTCCCCTTGATCTTGGGCTTAGTCATGTGGTTTCGCGGGTTGTGAGATGTAGGGTCTGGTTTGCAGCGGGGGGTGAGGTGCGCTCTGGCCTCCCTGTGACCCTCCTGGAAGAGAGCCGTCTGAGCGGCTGCTCGGGCCCAGAACAAACCCCCAACCGGCAGCAGCACGGTGGACCGAGCCCCAGTCCCTCAGACCCACGAGCCCGGGGATGGGTGCTTTTGCTCCAGCTCCCTGAAGACCCCTCCTGGAACCCCAGGGACAGTGGAAACAGGCCTCATCCTTCCGCCCACCCCATTTAGTTGAGGGTTGTCCTGGGGGTGCAGACTCCCTGCCCTCTGAGCTGGAGCCAGGAGTCGTGTGATGCTGCGTGTGTGGTGGGGAGATGCTCCTGCTGGCCGATGAAGGGATGGAAGTCCCGGCAGCAGAGGGCGTGGGACGGTCCCCAGCCTGGCCTCCGCCCACGGCACCCCTCTCCTCCTTGAAGCCCTCGGCCCACCCCCCTTATTTCTAATGCACTCACTGTGCCACCCGGCCAGGGTGGGGAGGCTGCTGAGGGGCTCGGACAGTCTGGGGGCTGGTTGGCCCGGAGAGGGGGCCGTGTGGGAAGGGGGCCCACGGGCCCACGGGCCGGGGGGTGATGTCCTGCGGCTAGCTGGCTGGCCAGGACACAAGAAACTGCAGGTGCTGGGCGGCCAGTGTGGTGAGGGGCCTCCACCAAGTGCCGCCTCGTTGGCTCTTAAGGGGTTTTTGTCCTTTTCTGATAGACTTAATGTTTGGGTGAGCGCTGCAGGCCCTTCCCCGCCCCCCGTCCCCGTCTGTCCTTTGTCTTCAAAGTGTGTTTACTTACTTCCTGAAGTGAACTTGGATGCAGTAAGATCTACTCATTTCTGTGTTGCATTGCGATGTCCTTGTTCTAAAGTTCTTTTCCATCCCAAGATGTAAAATAATAGTTAAACTTTCTCCCCGCATAAAGCGAACTTTGAAGAAGGAGAGAGCAGGTCTTGCATTTGATCCCGTGTTTCCCTTATTCATCCTCCGAGGGATCGACTGACCCTCAGGCTTCACCTCATGTATGAATATTCCCACCTCACCCTGAGCTCTGGATCCAGAAGCCCTTGAAGCTGCCCACGGCTCCCCAGCCCACCCTGGGCTGACCAACCCCTGGGAGTAGGTGGGAGCCTGGGGGGGGCGGTGAGCCCAGAGGGGAGACTCCCCGCGTCAGCTGGGCCCCAGGGAAGTCCAGTTCTTCCTGGGAACCAAAGTCTAAGCTGTCCAACTGGGGTGGAGGGCGTGGCCTCGCACCTGAGCCGCAAGCCAGCTCCCCTGGGAGTGAAGTTCACATTCTGCCTGGTGCCTGTGCCCAGGGGCCGAGAGCTGGCTCTGTCCACCTGGTCTGCCAGCATGCCGCCCCTGCCAGGGGGCACACAGAGGTAAGCTGGGGGTCGCTGTGTCAGCACAGAGACAGAGCCCGTCTTTAAGTCCTGGGTAGTCTGAGGACCTGGCAGAAGGAAGCCGTTCGTGTCTCTGAAAGGGAGTCGCTAGATTTGGGGCTATTTCTCTCTAATGCTGCCCCAAACTCACCGTGCTGGGGCTTCATTTCAGACAGTGAGTGACCCCTCCCTGTCTTCCCAGGCCCAGCCCTGGTCCTGGGCCTCTGAGGGTTACGGGGCTCAGAGCCAAGAGGACAACAGTCTGGTGTCTGGGCTCAAGGCCTGGGTGGGCAGCGGCTGGGGGTCCAGGACCTCCGGGCCGCGCTCCTGTAGTCCCTGCGCCACGGCCAGGCCCCTGTACCTGCAGCAAGGGCTTCCCTGCATCGGTGGAGTTGCCAGCCTGAGCCCCTGGTCTTTCAGGCCAGTTACCTGTGTGTGTGTGTTAAGGTGCTCACTGGGGGTCCGCGGGGCTAGAGCGAGTCCCCTTTACAGGGTCCCGGTGCCCGGCCCTGCTGGCTCTGGGCCCTAAGCGCTATGTTTCCTCTAGTATACACAGGAGGAGTTGGATTTTTTGTCACAGTTTAGGTGTGGAGGGGAGGTGGGTGTGCCTGGAAGTGCTTTGCGTTTTCCTCCTCTGTCTCACCCCACATGCTCTGGGGAGAAGCCGGTGCCTCTGGGTGCCCCCCACGCCCCAGCATGGGCCCCGGGCTTGGGCATGACCAATCTCTTTGAAGATGTGACTCCCTTCCTCGGGTGAGGACCGGGATCCCCCAGGAGCCAGCCGAGGGGGAGGGTCCAGGTGTCCCCCTTCCGTGGAGGTGGACGGGGTCAGCGCGCTGTGAGGAGGAAACATGGAGGCTTGGGAGGGATCGCTCTGCTAGCTGGAGGCCAAGCCCGGGGCCCATTGGCTGCCAGGCCTCTGGTGACGTGGAAGGCGAGGGGCCCCCAGGGAGCCCCAGGAAGAAGACTGCCGGTAGGGCAGCAGGGTGGCCTGTCTTAGTCCCACCGAAGGGAACCATTCTTTTTTTTTTTTTTAAGATTTTATTTATTTATTCATGAGAGACAGAGAGAGAGAGAGCGGCAGAGGGAGAAGCAGGCTCCCCGCGGAGCAGGGATCCCAAGGCGGGACTCGATCCCGGGACCCTGGGACCATGACCTGAGCTGAAGGCAGACGCTAATGACTGAGCCACCCAGGCGCCCCCGAAGGGAACCATTCTGACACAGGGTTGGAGCCGCAGCTGCTTCACGTGCCCCGGGCTCCCCAGTTTGGCCCAAAGCCCAGGAGGAAGGGGCTCCCTGGGTGGTTGTGGCCACATTCACTTACTAGCCCCACATCCTAAGAGGCACGGACTGTCCAGAACCTCTTCTTTATTTTCCTCCAATTGTGCAAACGCCTGGAGGCTCTTCCTGCGTCGGCCAGTGTGCTTAGCAGGTTGACAGGTGAACTGAGCCACGGCCCTGAGGGCAGGGGGACAGTCCCAGGTGGACCTGGCCAGGTGGGTACACAGAGGCCCTGGGCACAGGGAGGGGGCAGCCCTGGCAGACGTGGCTGTGCGGGTATCCAGTGGCCCTGGGTGGTCCGAGGAGCTGCTGGAGCAGAGACGAGACCTTCCCCACCAGGGGCGTGATCTCAGCGAGTCCCGGGCTTGTGATGGATCAAAGCACAATCCTCCTCAGCTGCCTCAAGGTTTGGAGCAACCCTGGACGTGGGTGGCATCCCCAGCAGGGATGGCTGCCGGGGACCCCACCCCGGGTGGCAGAGTCTCTGTACGGCAGAACGGAAACCCCAATGTTCTAAGTCCTGGCCCTGAGAATTTCACTGGCGCGTCTCCTGAAAACCTGTGTGTCTGGTTTGAGACTTAGCTCTGTTTCTGGGAACCGAGTAGCCGCTGGAGTGCTGAGCCCTGAGGAATCCTGCCTGGGGGGGCTGTGTGACCCCGTGTGTGACCCTGTGGAAGGTGTGTGACCCATGGGGGTTGTGGCTCCCGGCCTTGGGGTCAGTTCTAAGAGTAGTGGGGGGGGGCTCGGTGCAGGGGAACCTGGGAAGAGTCTGCTGGTGCCCAACCATAGGGGCTGCGAATGGGCTGGAGCCCAGAGGGAGGGTGCGGGAGCGGGAGCCGGGGTGGGGGCTGACCGCCGCAGCCGGGATGCTGCCCCCAGTCCGTGGCCCGGTGGGTTAGTGCTGTCAGGAGTCACCAGTGCTCCTGGGAAAAGCCTGGCTTCTGCCTGAAACCTGTCCCCCCACCGCAGTAAGTGTCCTGGCCTGCCTGTGGGCATCCCTGACTGAGCCGTGGACGGGTGTCCGCCGAGCCGGCTGGCTGAGACAAGGTGTCCCCCCGACCCCGGTTGGTGCAGGTCTCGCCGAGGCTCCTGCTCAAGGAAGGGGCATGCTGGGGGGGCGTGTGGGTCTGGGGACAGTGCACCAAGGAATGAACCATCTGGAAGACACCCTAGAGGGGAGCTCCTGCCGTGCTCAGGAGCATTCAGGCCCACGCCTTCCGGAAGGCACTGGGTTCGCAGCTCTGAGATGTGGCCATCCTGACCCCTGCGGCCGGTGCCCCGCGGGCCTCGTCTGTGCTGGGCAGGAGTGGGGTGGGAGGAGGGCGGAGGTCTGAAGGCTGAGGTTGTGTCCTCCCCGCTCCTAGCCCTGGAAGAGGCTTGGCTCCCAGCCTCCCGGCCAGGCACCCCTTGAGGGCTGGGCCGGGTCTGCCCCGAGGCTTCTCAGAGCCATGGAAGCTTCTGAGAGGGACAAATGGGACATGCTTTGCAAGTTGTCTCCTATCTTCCCAGCATTACGGTCCACCAGTGCCTGCTGGAGTGGCCCGCCCGGGAGACAGGAGGCACCAGCCTCATATTTGGCCTCTGCAGCAAAAGCCACGACCACCGGCCCTCCCGGACTCATGCCTGGTGGCCGTGCACGCTGCAGGGGTCCAGAGGGCAGGGCTGCAGCCCTACCACCTTCATGGTGCTCTAGTGGAGGCAGGGTGGGGTGGCCAGCACAGGAGGCCACTCTCCACGGGGTCTGCTGAAGGGACCTGAGGCTGCCTCCCCCCTGGAGGCCACCCCGGGAGCTCAGGGGGACCAGGAGGCCCTGCCTGCCCCCATCAGACCCTGAGAGGATCCACTTGCCGATTTGGCAGAACCTCTTGCCTCTGCTGGTGGGGCGTGGGCGGCACCTTCCCTGACCCACCAAGGCAGCGGGTCTCCTGGGTCTGCGGGTCCTGAGCCCAGGACACTGGCACCTGCGGGGCCAGAGGAGGGGCCGGCTACATGCCCCCTGCGCCCACAGCCCCATGGCCACAGGGCGTGCAGGCATCAGGCAGACTTTGGGGTCCCCTGAGGTCAGTGAGGGGGCTGCTGCAGAAGGGGTGGGGCCTCCCTGGGTGCTGATGAGGAGGGAAGGTGCAGGCCGGGCGGGGGCGGGTCTGGCTGCGTGGGGCTCTGACGGGAGGGCCTGGCACAGAGGGGGCGTCCTCCTGGCTGGCCTGGTGGGCTCTGGGTTCGAGGAGCTGGTCAGCTCGCTGGGGGAGGCTCAGGCTGAGGAGGGCCTCGGGGACCAGGCTCTGCCCAGGTTGCTGGGCCGGGGCTTTGGGGTGTGGCGTCCTTTTCAGTGGAAAACGGACAGGGCGTGGAATCACCCGGGAGCCGTGCCATCCCATGTGGGCTCAGCTGACAGCCTGACCCCGCCTCACAGCAGAGCACAGGAGTTTCCGGCTTGTAAGACTGGCAAGAAGCTATTTCGCTCTTTAAAAATGTACACACATGTCAGGGGTACAGAGGAAGAATTCATAATTACAAGTTTTTAAAGTCCATGCTCTGAGAAAAGGAAGGGGATCCTTTTTCCTTTCTGCACCAGGGAGGATTACATTTATTTTCAGAATGCTGGTGTTTGTCCTTGCACAACTGAGTGTTGTGGCTGGGCTGGGCTCGGACGTGGGAGGGCGGGGGCGGGGGGTCTGCCCTGTGGTTGCTCATCCTCCCTCCCCAGGCAGGGTGGGGGAGGCCAGGGCGGCCGAGCGGGAGCAGGGCCAGGCTGGGCACCATCCTTAGGCTCACCCACCCAGGAACCACCCCTAGCTCTGGGGTGGGAGGGAAGGAGGACCTGAAGCCGTCCCTCCAAGCAGACGGCCTGTCCTGGGGATGTCTGTACGACAAGCCACCCAAGACCCAGCCGCTGGAAGTGATGACGTGCTATTTCCCGGGGCCCCGCCTGGCACATCCCCAGTGGCTGTGTTCTGCTGGGTGGTTGTGGGGTTGGAAGGCCCTGGAAGGCCTCACTCACTGGCTTCTGGCTGGGCCCCCTCAGGGCTCCTCTGAAAGTATAGCAGCCTCCTTGGGGGGCCGTCTCTGCGGGTGTTTTAGGGGAGCAGAAGCAGAAGCTGCAAGATTCTTATGGCCCCCACAGACTTCTCACAGCATCACTTCCGGCATGTTCTATTGGTCAGAGCACGGGCATCACTCCTGGGGGGCAACGGGCTCCAATAGTCCGGATGGGAGGGAGGCGGCTGTGGGGTGGGTGTAGGGACGGGCGTCTGTGGCCACATCTCTCCTCTGACATACCCAGCAGACAGTAATGATGTGGCCCGCTTTTCTTTTTCCAGAAGAAGCCCCTGGGTGGAGGGTGGCCCACATTCCCTTCTGTTATTTGGGAGATGTTGAGTTTGGATGTCTGACACCCCATCCGTGTTCCTTTTTGGTTTGTCCTTCATATGGATGGCTCTGTGCTCCAGATCCCCTGGCCTGTAGCCTCTCTCCACCCTGGCACTGACGGAGTCTTCAGCACTGGGAGCTGTGCCCAGCCTCGGGGAGACCTTGGGCAGCCCTGCCCTGGCCCCGCACTCGTCAATCTACCATGCGGGTCCTAGAGGCCAGTTCTTCACTGCAGTTTCTTGGGCTGCTGAGCCGGGGAGGGGCCTGCAGTGCCTGGTTTCCTGAGGATGTAGCCGTTCAAGCCAAGTGTTGGGCTGTGGGGAGGGAGCCCTGGGTAACGGTCAGTCCTG